TTCCTGCTTCTGTCATGTTACATTACTTGGCCCACAGCACAATTTCTGTACCCAGTAGCAGAGTGCTCATGTAACATTAAGGTTTGGACCTCTGCTCTGCACAGCAATCCACAGGGCCCCATTATGCAGTACCTGAGTACTGGGAGAATTTGGAGAGCAGCAGCAATAGTTGCACACAACTTAGGAGGCAAAAAGCACTGCGTTAGTGAAGCTGCCACATCTTGTAGGGTGGATTCTATTACCTCCTCACACAGCGTCTCTCACAGCTACACAGGGTGATAGCAGTCAGCTGTGAACTGACTCACACAACTATAAAACACTCCGTTCCAACCTTCTAGCCTGAAGAACTTGCAAATGTAAAACATACCCTAGGCAGGAGTTCAGCTTCTTACTTCACACAGCAGAAACCTCTTTATGTCCATTTTTCTATGAAAGGGTAAGCTAAGGTGTCTCTTTCTCTGCCCCTTTGCAGATTACTGAGATGTCTAGACCTAGAGTTAGGGTCGCATCAGAAGGCATTTTTGACATGCCTCCACAATTTGCAGGATTCAGCAAATCAAACCAGTAGGAAGGTTGACTTTTAGAAGTGTGATTATGTGAAGGTTTACTAAGATAATGCTTACAGTGTTTTAATATAACAATCTTTCATTACAGACAAAAAATAGCTGTTGAATAAGTACGTTTTGAAAGCACAGAGAACTGAAGAGATGAGAAGTCCTACCCCACAGAACACTCATGTCTTCACAATTCAGGCATTTCACACATAAGAATACAGAATTCAGTACTACATTGTAAGTGTCCTGTGCATAGTTCCTTCTTTTGTGAACCTTCCTAAGAGAATTAATGTCAGCTCAAAGCATTAGGTTATATTATTCCCAAAGTATAACCACAGGTGATAACTCTCAGTATCCTTGGGAGGGAGAATTATATTTCAAATGAACACCACATGTGGAAGGAAGGATGTTTAACCAGGGTTAGTTTCTTTTTCTTTCATTAGGTAGTAAAAGAATTGACATAACCTATATTTGGTTTGATGTTATCAAGAAAAATACCACCAAAATGATGATTATGGAAATGAAAAGCAGGTCTTTGTTCATCCCTAATCAAAGCGGAAAGATGATCAAGTTGAAGAATACAAAGTAGGATCATCTTTATCTTGGGCTATTTTGATTACATGGTTAAAACCCAACAGGCATGCTGACCAGTATCATGTGTGCCAATGGTACTACTGTGATTAAACAAAACTTAATGCACACATAGTGAAAAAAATGAGTAAAAAGGCTTATGTTTTGTAAACTTTAAGATTAGGGACAGGTTTGCAATGGTGCTTCCAGCTTTTAGTGACTACATCAGGACAGATGTCACAAAGGCTTTTTCCCTTTGGCTGAAATGCACTTTAAAAAAGCATGTTATGAGGTGGTAATGTAAAGCTACATGTATATGCACATACATCCACCTCAGCGTGCACACACACAGCTGTTATAATACATACACATATACACACACAGAGGATACATATGGTGATACATGCTGTGAAATATTACCAGCACCAGAGCGATGTCCTACCACTGCTCCCAGCTAAAGTCATCTCCTCTACCAAACACAAGGAAAAAGCCTAAAATAGTAAGGAAAATGACTGCATTGCCAGCCAGCACCAGACCACAGGCTCCCCATTTGATCTGAAATGCAAGGAAATGAAACAATCAAAGCAGTTCTTCCAGGTTCAGGCTAATTCTTTATATGCATTAGATAAACTAAATGAAATACTACAGAAAGGTGCTAAAAGCTTAAAGAAAAAAAAAGACAAACGAGAAATGATGTGATGAATTATTCAATTAGCAACCACTCATATTACTACATATATGTACTCATACAACACTTCAAGAGGCTGCTAAAACATTCCTGAATCATAGATAATTCTGGTGAAACCAATGCTCTCCTTTAACTGCTAAGCAGCGAAATAAAAGCTCGCCTTTTAAATGCCAGTAACAAGACTGGAAAACAGAGCGGGGGCTTGAAAGTAGCTTGTTTTACGAAGCTGCTCGACTAAATGTACTCAAATAAGCGACGTTTACGCTAAGACAGAGCTATGAATTAGAGTTCCCTCTCGTGGTCACTTCTGGTTCTGCCTGCTGTCAGGTCCACAACTTAAAACCAAAAAAGCAACGTCAGGGAAATCTTTGTGCATTGCTAATAAATTCAAACTAAGCACACAGGTTTTAAGGACAACTAAAAGACTGAGAAGGAAAACAACGCAACACATAAAAACGTCGTTGGGTAGTTTGGAAGACAGGACAAGAGAGTTCTTTGCCTTGCAAACAAACGTGACAAAAAATCTCACCACTGAAGTGCAGCTCAGAAAGCAAAGAGAAAAGAAGCTAGCAGAATGTCCTCAGACTTTGAGGGGGCAAAGCATGAGCTTGGGAAATGCTTTCAAAACCAGAAGGGCAGCTCTGGAAGCTTGGCCTTTTATCTTTTAACTGCTAATGCACTCCAGTCACCAAGATTTCAGCATCCTAAATGGAGAAAGCAGATATTCTGAGATAATAATAAGGAAAGCGGTGCAGGAAGTGGTGTGAAAGCTGATGAGACAAAGAGGCACGAGATGCAGGAGATAATATCTTATGTTGGACCAAAACAAAACTGGAAAACACCCAGCTACAAACTTTCTGGTCATGCAAGTTCTTTGCTCAAGTCAAAAAAGAGACAAGATTTCAGCAGTACTTATTTACACCAGAATCTAGAAACATCATGATAATGAAATTAAAAGCAGGATTTACAGCACTTAAAGATTATACCCAGTAACCGGTGTCTAAAAATGAGCGAGCAGAACTTACCGCTTCAACCCGTGCCAGGATTATAGGGAATCCAAAGGCAGAAACAACAATCCCAGTTGTGAAGAAATACGCCAATTCCCTGCAGGCACTGCTGGCTGCATCACTGTCATCACTGACTCTTTTTGCAATGAAGTGGGGAATGGGGCAGATGAAGTAAAATATTAAGACAAACAGAGGCCAGTATACACTGGGGAGGAGGAAAAAAGAAATACATAATCAGTTTAGATGGATGCTTCAATAAAAAGTATCTTCTGCTTAAAAAAACTAATTGCAATTACTGTGATCCTACTTTATGGTTTGAAAAGTGGATTTAATCACGTGCTTTCACCCAAAGAGACAATCCTGGTTCACTTCCCCTGTACACACAACTCATATGACTTCGCACAGAGCAGGATCCACTCTCCCACAGGGCCAAGTGTTAGTTTATTTCACCACCTTGCTGATTCAACTCACACCACAGCCACAGAAAAACAAGAGTCACCACACAGGGCCAGGAAATACACACAAGTGGGATGGGAACCAAAAGCTTTCCCAAATTAGAGGGATCCTGGAGTATAAACAAGCCGGCTGTGAAGGCACACCCTCGCATTCCCATCTCTGTGCGAGAGCTATCCTTAGCTTCACCCGGAGTTTTAAGTGTACCAGACATCCCTACTGGAGTCTTGCGATAGGAAGGTTCTTTACAGAAACAGGGAAGTAAGGGGAAGAACTGTGCGAGGTTAAATGTCACTGTTTAGCAAGACGGCACTGCTTTTCCGGAGAAAACAGGGGACTGTTGTCACTCGTTTTTTAAAGGAAGCAGCGAGAGCTATCCTTAGCTTCACCCGGAGTTTTAAGTGTACCAGACATCCCTACTGGAGTCTTGCGATAGGAAGGTTCTTTACAGAAACAGGGAAGTAAGGGGAAGAACTGTGCGAGGTTAAATGTCACTGTTTAGCAAGACGGCACTGCTTTTCCGGAGAAAACAGGGGACTGTTGTCACTCGTTTTTTAAAGGAAGCACAAGAACTGGCTAAGGAGGCGGTACTTATAACCACAACAACCTGCCATATGTCGAGCGCCAGAAAGCAGGCGACTGCTGTCAGACAGCTAGAGCCAAACAGCTCCGTTAAAGGAGACCGACGCCTCCCTTAACAGACACGAAGAAGGGGAAGCTCTGGAAACGAAGCCGTGCCGCTCACCCGTAGTACTCCAGGGCGCACCCCAGCATGAGGAACGTCAGCCCGATGGCTCCGCTGAAGGACAGCGCCACGAGAGCTGCAACGGCACAAGGCAGGCGGTGAGGCGGGAGCTGCCCCACCGGTCACCGGTC